TTTCAGAAGGTGATTTTTATAATTTTGCGCTATAATTTTCAGAATTGTGGAGAAATTTGTAAATAAAGGAAGAGAAATGATAACAAAACATACTGGTCACTTGCACTCATAATTAAGCATAACAATCTTGCTGAACCTTTTCAATCAATTGACAATTTAGTTTAAAATTTTTGTCCAGATGTAATATATGGGGAGTGAAAAAGAAAGGGAAAGGATTTTAATAAACAGGTGGGTGGAAAATTTTATTTTTATTTCTAACGAGGGAAGGAAGGGGGGGAGAGAAGAATAAAAAATTTAATAAAAGAGGGAAAGTGGGGAGGAGGAGGAAGGAGGGGGTCATAATAAGCTCAGGGTAAGTGGAAAAATTTCCAGAAAATTATTAAATACCAACTTCTGTGCATAAGGCACATAAGAGTTCAACCTTTTTTTTCCTTTGATTTTTTATAATTCCTGTTTTATATGTAACAAATTTAAGTAAATTTGACCGTTTTTTTTCCATTTTAAGAAAAGACCACTTTCCAATTCTTTGTAAAAACTCTAACTAAACTATTCAGGATGACATGTAAAAAAAGAAGAAAAAAAAAAAATCGAGCTAAATCGGCATTTTTGTAATTAAACTCGCCCCAGTAAAATTGCGATAAAGGTCAATATTACAGGTGTTCTGTTTATTTTTAAAAATTTTAAGTTGTTTTATTGGACTCCTTGCCTCAAAATATGTTAGCATACATATTTTCAGCTTTCCATTGTATACAGAACAGAAACAAAGACCAAAACCATTTTTTAAAATGGCGGATTTTTGTTGGTTCAAGGCAAAGTTTGAATAGTCATATCTTTGGAACCGTTTGGAATTAGATAATAAAATTTCGGGAATGTTCATAACTTATTAAAATTTTTGAGTGGTGTAAAAATCAGCAAAATCTGAGACTTAGGGTTGCATGCCCTGGATGTTTTCACATGGAATCTTCCATATATATATATAAACATATATATATATATAATATATATATATATACATATACATATACATATATATATATATATATATATATATATATACATATATATACATATATATATATATATACATATATATATACATATATATATATATATATATATATATATATATATATATATATACATATACATATATATATATAAACCCGGACTCGGACCCGGTTTTTTCAGCCAGGTACCGGGAATCGGAGACTCGGCATAAACTGGTTCCGGCACATCTCTAATATATATATATAAATATATATATATATATATATATATATATATATAAATATATATATATATATATATATATACATATATATACATATATATACATATATATATACATATACATATATATATACATATATACATATATATACATATATACATATATATATATATATATATATATATATATATATATATATATATATATATATATATATATATATATACATATATATACATATGCATATATACATATATATATATATATATATACATATATATACATATATATATATATATATATACATATATATATATATATATACATATACATATATATATATATAGGCCTCCGCAGGAAGCGAGAGCTTTAGCTCTTACTCTCGCCCATACTCCCCTAAAACAATTTACGAGAGCAATTTACAGTACTTGCAAAAGAAGTATTGATATTTATATATATATATATATATATACATATATGTATATATATATATATATATATATATATATATATATTTATATATATATATATATATATATATATATATATATATATATATATATATATATATATATATATATATATATATATATATATATATATATATATATATATATATATATATATATATATATATTTATATATATATATATATATGAATTTTAGTTAAATAAGTAATAAAAGTTTAAAACAAATCAAATTTATAACTTTTTTATGTTGTTATATTGTTATTATGCTTCTTAATTATTATATATGATACAAAAACAATATTTCAGTTCTTTCTCGAGATGATATTTAGATGATAGAAGATCACAACTATCTGTTATTAAATGAACTTTTAAAGATGAATTTTGCATAAAATGTGTTACAATCCAGCAAATATCTTCTATGTATGGCCAAGTAAAAGTGTTTGATAAATAGATGGCTTCATGAACTTTACATGCTTTCGACGTGATGAAGCAAAAAAATGTAATTATGTAGATACCTCATGATCTTGTTCATGGTAACGTATGTTATAATTTAATGTTTTTATAACTTATGTATTGTGCACCATAACTAAAATGATTGCAATAGTTGAAGTAAGGTATTAAAATAATTAAGTTTGACTGTGCAAAATAATGCACTTATGAATAATAAATATGATAATATTAAAATATTTTGCACAATTATTTGTGCAATAAATATTTGTGTAAAAATTACAATAACTGTACGGCAGTTTCTGTTCAAGTTGATAGTAAAACTTGGATGCAACACCCTGCATTCCAGGCTGGGATAGTTTAGATTACTCAAAAAGACAGGACTACACTGCTTACAAATTATTTTTTTTTGTTTGTTTAAAAATAACATTTAAAAAAAGTTTATTAAATATGAGCTGATTTAGTTTATATAAATGTTTTTGATCAATTGTTAAATTTTCTATTAAATAAAATTTATTTGAAATGTAATAAAAACATAACTATTAAGTAAAATTGGTTGACTTAAAATATTAGTTACTCTTAAAACATTAGTCAATTAATGCACAATAACTTAAAAATAATTTAAAAATAATATATGTAGATCAAGTTTAATTTGTAAAAATTTAATATTATGTTTATTTTTTGTTTATTTTTTTATACACTAAACAAAATAAATTATATATTTAAAAACTTAAAAACTTGATTTGATGTGTGGTATTACTGAGGATATATTACAAGACTTTCTGTTATATATTAAATGGGTTGCAATAAATGCATTTTGTATAGATAATATAAAATATTATGCGTCTAAATATTGATATTATATCATACTTACACTTCTAATGGATATAAAATATGTACTTAAATGGATATTGTATTTACTCTTCTAATGGTTAACAAATTTAAACATTAAATGGAATAATAATAAGCAATTAAAAGGGTAACCTAAAGTTTCTTAATTACTATTTTAGTAATTACTTGCAGTCATGAAGGTAAGTTATTACTAGAAGACAGGTAATTACTGAGAAACAAAGAAATAAGAGTGTTGAAATAGAGAGTGTTCATAATTATATTAATAAATTAAACAACAAAATGCTATATAAGTAACTCTAGTAACTAATTTTGTTTACCACTTGAAAGTTTCCCACAAAAATAATATCTCTTGGTGGTTTGAACAACTCATGCAAACATTTTTTTTTTTTGTTTTTTTGTTTTTTTCCTAAGTTTTTTTTTTTTTTTGTAATTGTCTCTCATCAGTCCAATTAATCTTAAGCGCAATATTTTTTAGCTTTTTGAAATGTTCTCAAAACGACTAAAAAATCTGGCCAGCTTTTCGCAACTAAATATTATTGCTGTGGTCAGCAATCGAGAGCGACCGCTCCCGCTTCCCGACCAAACCTGATATATATATATATATGTATATATATAGGCCTCGGCAGGAATAAATGAGCACGAGAGCGGTCGAAAGCTCTCCTAAAACGAACTTGGGGAGCTGTGCAAGCTGCTCCTCATTTAAATTGAGGTTCAATTTTAATTTTAATTTTTTTTTTTGCAACAACTGTGTCTTTTAAAAAGTATATTATGCTTTTTTTTTTTTAAATGACATAGTGTTTTTTATTTTAATTAAAACAGCAATTATACTTTCAAAAGAAAAATTATACTTTTGCGAGAGCCGTAAATTGGTCCCATAAATCATTTTAGGGGAGTGTGGGCAAGAGATAAAAAGACAGGACTACACTGCTTAAAAAGTTTTTTTTTTTTTTGTTTAAAAATAACATTTTGAAATGTTTATTAAATATGAGCTGATTTAGTTTATATAAATGTTTTTGATCAACTGTTAAATTTTCTATTAAGTAAAATTTATTTGAAATGTAATAAAAACATAACTATTAAGTAAAATTGGTTGACTTAAAATATTAGTTACTCTTAAAACATTAGTCAATTAATGCACAATAACTTAAAAATAATTTAAAAATAATATATGTAGATCAAGTTTAATTTGTAAAAATTTAATATTATTATTGTTTATCTTTTGTTTATTTTTTTATACACTAAACAAAAAAAATTATATATTTAAAAACTTAAAAACTTGATTTGATGTGTGGTATTACTGATGATATATTACAAGAATTTCTGTTATATATTAAATGGGTTGCAATAAATGCAATTTGTATAGATAATATAAAATATTATGCGTCTAAATATTGATATTATATCATACTTACACTTCTAATGGATATAAAATATGTACTTAAATGGATATTGTATTTACTCTTCTAATGGTTAACAAATTTAAACAGTAAAAGGAATAATAATGAGCAATTAAAAGGGTGACCTAAAGACATAAAACTAACTAACGTTACTAAAGGTAGGTAAGGTTGTGAAAAAAAAATTACTTTATTGTTGCAAAAATCAACAAACAAGAAGGTTCTCTGTTTTGAAAAATTAAGCTTAAAAAATTAACAAAATATATTTTCATTACTGAAATTTTTGGAAAAATCAGAAACATTTATATATATATATATATATATATATATATATATATATATATATATATATATATATATATATATATATATATATATATATATATATATATATATATTTATATATATATATATATATATATATATATATATATATATATATATATATAAATGTTTCTTAATTACTATTTTAGTAATTACTTGCAGTCATGGGTAAGTTATTACTAGAAGACAGGTAATTACTGAGAGTGTTCATAATTATTTTAATAAATTAAACAACAAAAATATAATGCCATATAAGTAATTCTAGTAACTAATTTTGTTTACCGTTTGAAAGTTTCCCACAAAAATAATATCTCTTGGTGGTTTGAACAACTCGTGCAAACGTTTTGTTTTTTTATTAGGCGGAACTCCTCGAGAATTTATCAGTAACTCTTGCTCATCTAAAGCATAATTTTATTTATTATATCAGATATTAAATGTTTTTAGTATCTAATATATATAATTAATATATAAAAGTGTAAAATATATATAGAAATTTAAAAATTTTGTATATAAAACCACTGAATAAAAAATATTTACTAGAATTAATTTATTTAATGAATGCTAAGTGACCTGCTTCTTTTTTAAAATCTCTGAAATTATCAAATACTGAGCATGTTTGAGGTCTTCTTGTACGAGAAGGTATTGCTAAAACAACAGCATAAACAATAAATCAAATGTATACAAGATTGTTCCAAACTTTTTATTCTTTCATGAAAGCAAAACCATATAGTATAATATATATATAGTATATATTACTATTGTAAAAATTATTATTAATGAAAAATAGCTGGTTGTGTGTTGTTGTTAAAAAAAAAGCACAAATAAGCATACTTTCTGTTTGATAAAAGTTAAAGATATTATTTAGATAGGACCCAAATGACTCAACATTTGTTTTTTGCTAGCTTTTTGTTTTGCTACTCTATTTTAGCGCTGCATACATTGATTGGACAGCGCTAAAAATAAAACAAAATACCGTCTATAATATTTATTGGGTCAATCCTTTTTTTCCAGCGAGCAAATCCAGGTTTCGCATTTTTTGTAAAACCATGACTTAAATTATTAAAAATCATTTTAACTGTTTATACTCATTTTCTTGCAATAATTTGCAGTAGATAAATAATTTAATATGTTTATAATATTAAATAAACTTTTTAAATATATTATAGCAAAATTTGTTATAACTTATTAGTATTAAAAACGAATTCGATATTCAAGCACTTATTATATTTGGTCAGGATTTTATAAAATACGCAAAACCTGGATGCTCACTGGAATTAAGTTTCAATCCATTTATTGAAGATGAATACGAAATCAACACAAAATTAAACGTGGTTTCACAATGATAAGGCAAATTAAGCTCCGATTTGCAAAGATATATTCAGAACTATATATTTTTATATTATAAAATATTCAGTGCCAACCCCATCTTGAGATAACTATTAACAAAGATTTTGCTGCTTTTCTTTGAAGATGTTACTAATTTGTTTTCAGTTTTGATTTTGCTCTAGTTCTTCCAGGTACTTATGGACTGCTCTACTGAATCTTCAGACTCTTGATATTCTGTCTCAGATTTGGAAGTTGACGTTATTGTTATTGCTGTTACTGTTGTTGAATTAGGCTTCAAGGATACTTTTCTTCTTTTGGATGGATAGTTTTTAAACAGCTTTTTTTAAGCAGCTTTCCCAGATACATATCAGACCTGTTGATAAAATGTTTTGTCCTCACTGCAGAGTCATTCACTATCTTTTTTTGTGATACCAAAAACTTCATTCAATGGATCCTATTTTCTTTGTTTTATACATTTATTGTATGTCTTCAGCACTTGATCCAGTTTTTTTTCTTTATGACTTGAACTGATAAAATTGGAAAATTTAATTTTCTTTGTCATAAACTTGTCACTTCTTTCTCAATTTGCTTTATGCATTCTTGTCTCCCTTTAATAGATTCTCCTAGAAACAGATAGCGACTAAAAATTTATTCATAGAAACAGATAGCAACTAAAAATGATTGATTGTTCTTCTACTGATTGTTCTTCTAGTGAGACAGTTCTTCTTTTCCTTTGTGACTCATAAAATTGTACTAGATTCTTCATCCAGATCATCTTGTTTTTTTCAATAGTGGAAAATTCTAAAATAAATATTAGTGTTGCTCAATTAGGCAACTGTCTGTTTTAGAAGTTTTAGGAAATTAATTCTGGTTAATTTGCTAAAACTTACTTGATTCTTACAAAAAATATCAACTCTATTAATGGATTAGTTATTACTAACAACCATAGATCGCCGCAACTTCCCACTCTCAATGAGAGTTCATCGCGTTGGTTTGACAAGGTTTTAACTGCAATTTTTTTGTTAGGAGAATTTTAAAAAAATCTTTTAATTTTTTTAAAGTTTAATTAAAATTAAGTCTTTATCCCTAGAAAAAACTTTCAAAGTCTTGGTTATGGTCTTGGGTTAATTTTTTGATGCCTTTGTCTTGAGTATATATATATATATATATATATATATATATATATATATATATATATATATATATATATATATATATATATATATATATATATATATATATATATATATATATATAAATATATTTTTTTTTTTTTTTTTTTTTTTTTTTAACATCTTCACTTCCAACAAGGCTGCAAGCAACCACTATAAAAGTTGGAAGTTACTGGAAAAGAAAAGACTAAATCTGTAGAGCAAGATAACGATTGACTGATGACTTAAAAGATTGCAAATTATGTGAATCAGGAAAGCAAGATGAAGGAAGCGAATTCCAAAGAACTGATGTTCGAGGAAAAAAACTAGAAGAATAAGAGTTTTTGAAGCACTTAGGAACAGTCACAGAAAAAGGATGAGACTTAATTGAATGGCGAGTAACACGAGAATGAATTTTAGTAGATGGCACAAGGGACGCTAGCTCTTTAGAGCAGTGCCCATTATAGTATTTGTAGAAAAGAGAAAGAGAAGCAACATTACGACGATGTGACAAAGGTTGGAGATTGGCTGCCAGAGCAGGTCCAACTATGTTTACAATTCGTTTTTGCACCTTGTCTAAAAGAGAAAGAGCATCATTAGAAGATCCGCCCCAGATGTGGCAACAGTATTCCATACAGGGACGGATTTGAGATATATATATATATATATATATATATATATATATATATATATATATATATATATATATATATATATTTTTTTTTTATATATATATTTTATATATATATATATAAAATAAAAATTCCCAATTTAAAAGTGAAAAATTCCCATTCTCCAAATAAAGTTTGCCTAATTAAAGTTTAATAATAATACTGAAAATCATTGAAAATTAATTAATGTTGAAAACTAATAGAAGAATAACATAAAAAACTAAAATTTATTGTTTTAAACTTGAAATAAAATTGGTGTTATTTAAAGAAAGTTAACAAGAAATTACAATTTTAAA